TAGAACTGAATTGGAAGTCATGTCCCAAAGGACTACCTGCAGTAGCCATGGAGTGTGGCTTTACATGGTAACCACCTTTAAATAGCCAAAGAGCTTCCATGGGGAAGTCAGAGCATGTTGCTCAAGAGAGCACTGCATAAGCATTGGTTAATGGCAGGCCATGGCGGGTCCCAGTAAGAAAGAAAGGCTTTCTGCCAACTCCAGTGTCCAACAGTGGCTGGGCCTCCTGAGGAAACAACACTCCCTCTGCCTCTAGAAGTATCAGGAATGTGACTGATGGTATCAGGAACTTCTTTAACGCCACCTTGCAATCTCCACAAAGCTAGAATTCTACCATTTTATATTACGTAACCCCAAAATCTCTTCAGATCTCATCCACATGTGGTCATCTGAGTGGATCACACGACAGCTGCACTGAGTGACTCCAAGACCGGAGGGCTCACTCCTCTCCTCTCCTCCTCAATCAGCCAGCATCTCCTGGGGCACACAGAGCACCAGGCTACACGGAGCGCAGCTCTCCTTGGGAACATCTCCTCCATTTCAAAACCTGTGTGTCCAAAGCTTTCTCGCCCATGGACACCCATTCCAACTCTTCTACTCCTGCTGGAGGCACTGCCATATTCCTAGCTGCCCAGAGTCAAACTGTGGCTGTATTTAATTCCTGCCTTTATTTTTCTACTGCCAAAAACCCAGTCCAAGAAAGTTATTCTTCAAAAGGTCTCATTTCCATTATCCTGTTTCCACTGCAACTTGTAACCAGGCCTCATCATCTCACACCTGGATACTACGTTATCCACCCGCGCCCCAGCTTCCCATACCTGTCTGTCTCTCCCTCCTCCACCACTCCTTTCTATACACTATACATTACTTGTCTTCGTCTTACTGTCCTGCTGAGAAACTTTCAGGCATGTCCCCAGAGTGTGTGCATGAGAGAAAGAGGGGGCCGTGGCCAGGGCTCCCCAGCCCAGGGTTAGTAGCTGGAGCTACATAGGAGCAGGGAAGCATGCCCACCCTCACACAGTACAAAGGAAGTCTAGAGATCTGTGATCAGCAACCTGCGGAACAGCTGGAAGGATTAGATTCAATGGGGCTGACAGAAAGAGCAGAGCAGAGCAGGCAAACATAGGCGGCAATGCAGAAGTGGCAGCTCCCACGACAGCCCTGAGAAGCAGCCCTGGAGATCCCCCAAGGACATCAAGGTTTGCCAGTCCCAGGGCCCTGGGCCAACCCCACGGACCAGATGGGAATCCAGACAGACACAGAGAGACAGACTTTCTGTGTTAGGGTGACAAAAGGCTGTGCTGTACAAACTGCATCATCTTACCCCAATTAATTAGAATTCCAGATGTACAAAGTGAAAAATTCCACTCCCTGCAATAAGTCATGGGGCGGGCATCTGCCTCTTACCTCTGACTGGAGAGTTTAAAGATGGGCTCTTGTAAATAGAAAGAAACATCTTATTGAAAACACTTTTTTTTCTTTCTTTTAAAAAGTCATTATTTGGCTGCAAATGCATCATTTTCCTCTGGCTACAAGTCTCAAATATCTGCAAATATGCATTGCATAATGACCCTCTGGCAGGCTGCAAAATCACATCTTGTTGCCTTTCATGGAAGAAAAATGAAGAATTATGAAAACAGAATGACAAGATTTCTCTAACCCAGTATTTCCTTTATCAACTCTGTGCCTGTTTAAGGCAAAGACAGTGGGATGCCAAGGTAAAACTTTTAAAGGAAATCTGCTTCTTTTGTCAAAAGAAAATGCTAGGACCTCTGGCTTTCCTGATTTCTTAATTTAATTTGAACCTGGAAAACTTACTGTGGCCGTACTGACCAACCTGCATGTTTAAGGAGGGGACTGAGGCTTCATTCTCAAAACCTAAGGGTCTTACATTGGTGCGTCCACTGTTGTTCCCGATTCCTCCCTACCCAGATGGGGCTGGGGGAGGAGTGTCAGCCGGTACTGTATGAGTTTTGTAAATAAGATGTGATCTCATTAGACCTACGGAGACTGGAAATAAACTTGGCAGCTGCTGCCTTTGTTGACTTTCAGTGACTACCCTGGAACTGAGCACACCCTGCGGGGTGGCCGGAGATCTTCATCCGACATCACTGTTAGTGGGACAGGCTGCGCTGTCACCAGAGTTCTCCTTTCTAATAACGCTGTGAACTCCAAGGCACAGGCTGCCTCTTGGCTCTATTTTCGTGTCCTCATCGTGACCGGCACAGAGATGAACACGAGAGCCAGAGACTATTAGGGAGCTTTCTTTTGGAAAACGAAAGATGGAGACAGAATTCCACACCGATCCAGTCCTGACAACCCAAGTGTCTGGGGAGGAGGCCAAGGCACCACCTCAGCCAGGCCCCAGGAACCGTAGGGTGAGCACACCCCGAGTGCCCCACACAGGGAGGAGAGGCCGGGAAAGCTCAACTCCTACACACTCATGCTGAAGCTGTTCATTTTATGATTTTGCTATGTTATTTAGAAAAGCAGTAAGGCTGTTCCCGTGTGTTCCTCCTCGGTTGTTCATTTGCCTCACAGAACGATTCCAAAGAAAAATCCACATGACGCCGCTGTGACAGCAGAGGCTCTGAGCGCGAGCCCTGTCTCTGTCATCCCCGTTTTCTCTTTCTCAGCTCCTCCTTTTCTTTTCCTCTCCTGTGCTCCCTTCCTGTCACTTTTTCCATCTCTCCCTCTTCTCTTCTCTGTGCCTCTCCTGCTGTCTCAGTCTGTTTGTGCTGCTACAACAAAATACCTGAGACCGAGTGATTTACACAGAGCAGACGTTTCTCTCTCACAGTTCTGGAGGCCGGTGGGTCCCCCGACCTCTGCTTCCAAGATGCCGCGCATTGCCACATGCTCTGAAAGGGAGGAACGCTGTGTCCTCACATGGTAGAGGGGCAGAAGACAGCGAACCCACTCATCCCATGAGCCCTTTGGATGGTGGCCTTGATCTATTCAGGAGGGCGGAGACTTCATGGCCTAAACATCTCCCAACAGCGCTGCGTTGGGATTAAGTTTCCAACACATGAATTCAGGGGGACACATTCAGACCAGAGCCTTCCCCACACCTTCCCTCTGCTCATACTGATTCTCCTCCCTGCTCCCATCCCACCTTCCCTAATCTCTCCCTCACTCTTTTCCCTTTCTGGTGATGAAGGAACAGATTGTCACTTTTCCTATAGTAAGCATCCTAGGTTTTATTTCCTTTTAGAAAGAGGGCTTGCTGATGGTGTTTTGTCATGGCCATAACAAAACTATAAAAATGTCTTAAGTTAGCTGTAATGTATTTAACATAAAAAGTCAGTTTTTATTGCAGAATCTCCTCCCATCTCCCTAGCTTTTAGGATCCTCAAGACAATTCAGAGAGCCATGGGGAGGGAGAAGCTTCCAGATGAACATGAAAGTTAGAGAGGGCTCCTCGCAGGAGCAATGAAAAAAAAGAGAACACACTGAAACAGGATGTGAGATATAAATCTCCACCTCCCCCCCTCCAGTCTGGCTCAATCAACCTAGTAGGCCCGGCATTCCACTCAGTTTCTAAGGTCACCTACATCAGTTTCAAAATAAAGTCACTTCCATTTTCCATAGAAAACAAAGCCAAAAATAATAACAATTTTTTAAAAAAAAAGATTTTCAACCTCCTGGAGGAAACCATAGCAATTTTCTAAATATTAAATAGGGAAAACATTCTGTCATCAGGACTACTGGGAAAAGGAAAATTGAGAGGAAGATGTAAGGGTCACCCACGGACCTAGAACCCCACAGGTATTTACATATCAGGGCCAGCCACAGAGAGAAGGCCCTCCCACCCACACGAGGGTACCGTCACCAGGATTCTGGGAATTCTGAAAGGAAGATAAAGCCTAAAGCAAGAACCATGCTCATCCCAAAGTTAAATCAGGGCTGAGTGCTCCTGAAGGACACCAGAGTCCCTGGGAAGTAGGTGACACAAGACGCAAGGCCAGGGGACGGGCTCCCCAGCAGAGCACAGCGCTGGTGCACACCAGGCTGGACAGGCTCGCCCGAGTCGGGTGGGCAGTGAACACAGGGATGGCAGACAGTCTGGGCTGATCACATGTTCTGCAGGGACCCCGGAAAGCTATGTTGAGTCTGTGACCTGCTTAAGTTCAAATTCCAAGACCCTCCCTGCCTGTGTTGCCCACTACGGCCACTCTGATCCCTTCCACGACACCCCACCCCCACTGCATTTACCTTGGTGCATTTGCACCAGCTCAGGACAGGATCCCTTAATTCTTTCCCAAATCCCCCTCCAGCCAGGTCCCTAATGGTCCCTGCTGAGAATCCAGAGAGAACTATGCCAGAGCCTCGCCTAGCTTCCAGCACACCTCAAGTGACAGGGCAGCTACCTTGGCAGCAGGGATGCTTGCCAAGATCCAAGGGGAAAGCAGCTGTATGCTCATAGTCAAGCCCTATCCCCTCAGCTACAAGATGGGAATGACATTATTACTTCATTGTGGCCTCATGATGATTAAATGAGATAATGCTTATAAAACATCGAATATGGGGCCAGCTGCCCCATATTATCTTTAATAAATGTTGGTTACTTTTATAATTGATGGTAGAACTGAAAGGTAATCTCAAATTATTTCATCTATACATAGGAATATGGATATGCATATATACAACATAAAAATAGGTACTTAAGTAACTGAACACATATGAACATGAAATACAGGAAGTACATAGATCCTATATCTATGCTACAAAGTTTCAATTAAACATTAAAAACCAGAGGTGCCAAAGGCATTTGAAAGGCTTAAGAGGAGAAAAAATAGACATGCATTAAAATTTCATAAGCTATTTGCAATTGAAGTATATTTTAAAATCTATAAAGTAGTAGTCCTCATTTACACTGCAACAGGGTTTGAATGAAGCTGAATAAAATTTCTTTCTGCAAAACCATCTCAAGGAGAGTAACTGAAAGGCATATGATATGCAAACTGAACAAACTGTTCAAAATCGTAACTTCCCCTTACCTTTGACCCAATGAGAGTATACAGCCACTGTATGGTTTCATTGTGGTTTATTACTCCATTCATCCCATCCACATACAACATAATCTGGCCCAAAGCTAGAGAAAAGAAGAGAAAAAAAAGACATTACAGATTTATATATAAATACAATCTTCAATGACATGTCAATAGAGATTTTCACACTAAGTACAGGGTATGGTAAGAACCGAATCAGAAAAGAATTCTCCTGAGCTCTAAAATCAGCAAACTCATTTCAGAGAGAAAGTGTTGACCACACCAGAAGAAATAAAGGCTATTCCTGGTGCTTGCAAGATGCAATTAAGGCACCAATCAAGTGACTGCTGTTTGCACATTCCTTGATGTATAAATGCATGTTTTCCTGTTTCTATATCTGTGTGTAGTCCCAGACAGGACAAAGATATCCATGAGACGGTGTCAGGCTTGTGACCTCCCACTAGGGCCAAGAGGACAAATGAAGTTTCCCAAAGTGCTCCAGCCTGTGGTCAGCAGGTCCCAGATTCTATGGGACCATCCTGAGCTAACACAACTTTATTCCTGTAAGTGATAAACGTGCACTTAAATATTCTTTGTAATTCCTTTTAAAGATTTCTAGATAAAGAACGTGAGATGTCATGAAAATAAATTTGTCATACACCAAGTCCTGAACTTTTAGCTTAGGAAAATTTAGCCACCACATGCTCTCATTATTCTCCAAAGAGACAATATAAGCTATGTTATTTTTTAAGCAAATATGAACTCCATTTTTTTTTCAGCTTCATCAGCGTTAAAATAATTTCAACTCTAGAAAATGAACAAACATAAGTTACATACCCTAAAATAAGCAGGCTTCCTCAAATCACATCTAACCTCGTAAGCATATTTCACCCATAATTAATTGGCATGGCAGTGACATTTTTTAAACATTTTTCCCCTGCTGGTAACAGTAGGACATCTTATTTTGGAAAACTGGAAAAATAAAGAGTAAAGTGAAAATAATTCATATTCCCATAATTTAGGGATAATCAGTCAATATATTGACATATTTTCCTGCATTCACTTTTTTGATTTTTTTTTTTTTTTTTAAGAGACCAGGTCTCACTCTGTTGCCCAGTCTGGAATGTAGTGTCATGATCATAGCTTACTGCAGCCTCAAACGTCTAGGCTTAAACTATCCTCCTGCCTCAGCCTCCTGACTAGCTAGGACTACAGGCACATACCACCACACCTGGTTAATTTTTTAATATTTTGTATAGATGGGGTCTTGCTTTGTGGCCCAAGCTGGTCTTGAACACCTGGCCTCAAGCGATCCTTCCCCCTCAGCCTTCCAAAGTGCTGGGATTACAGATATGAGCCACTAAGCCTAGCCACATTCTTTCTTTTTATGCATTACACACACAAAGTTTATATGTAGGTTGTAGGAAACAGTCTACATGAAATGTGTTGATTGAGAAGAGCAAAACACAAAACAATGAGTATATACAAGTTCTAAGTATACAAATATATGTGTGATATTAGGAAATTCATCATTATCCTACCCAAAAAAGATCAAATAACCATATCATTATTCTGAGAAAAACTATGCTACTAAATATGTAACAACTCAAAAATTTAAAAAATCATTTGGACATATCCTTGACCCAATAAACAGTATATTTTTGGAAATAACAGCTTTGTATTCTATTTAATTGTGAAACACTGGAGATATTCTTACTTAAATCAGGAAAAATTTTTAAGTGATGCCCATTAAGCCAATGACTATTTAATACTGCCATAGAATTTCAGGCAAATTTAATAAGACACAAGAAATAAGAGGTAGAATGGTTGGAACACATAATACTGTCACTACTTGCAAGTAATATTATAGATATAATTTAAAAATTCACAGAATTTATAACAAAGAGATCACAATTATACTCACATTTCTATCTTAGAAATATGTATATAACAAAGAAAACAAAGTTTGATATAAAAATATAATTCTAGATAAATAGACATACCACAACAAATATGATAAAGGATTAAATTATTTCTTGTTTAATTAGTTCACACAAACTAATAAGAAAATACTAAATGCCAACAGAAAAAATGCAAAAGCATTTTACAAGAGATGACAAGCTGGTTTATAGTAACGAAATTAAATAAATTGCTCATTCTCACTATACCCAAACTAATGCAAATCAAAACAATAATAAGGTAATATTTTCACTTAAGTTGGCAAAGGTGTTTTAAAATAAAATGATTAGGTATCAAATACTAGGGAGAGAGGTTAAACAAGTAACTGTACACATTACTTGTGGCAGGGCAAACTGGTAGCAACTCTGTCACTAACGATATAGAGCTCACTCTGTGCCAAGCCCTGAGGAGGGACTTCATATGTGTTATTAACAGAACAGCCCCGTACAGCGGGTATTATTACCCTCATTTGGCAGAGGAAAAAACCGGGGCTCTGAGAAGTGAAGGAATGTGCCCAAAATCTCCATCGTTACCAAAGTAGTGGAACCTACTTCCAGCCGGGGTGGGCAGGCTCCAACATGTCTGTACTAAGCATCTGAAAGTCCTCTAAAGCCCTCCCAAATCTCATCGTGATTTCAGAAACCTATCCTAAGGAAATAACTCTAAGCTTAAACTTAAAAAAAAAAAAAAAAAGGAAGCAGAGATGTTCACTGAAGTGTCATTTAAAATACCAAAATAATAACAAAAATCTAAATACCTATCATGGTCCTAACTCAGCACACACAGTAGTTGACCAAAGCTATGTCCTAACCTGTAAAATGTTTCTGATAAAATAATTTAAAAGTATAAACATTGCATCATTCAATAAAACACCCAAATATTCATACGTAGAAAGAAGAAAAGGAAAATCCATAAGGAATTAAAGCATTATGATGGAGTATACATTCTTTGGGTGTATTTTTCCTATTTTTGCTATTTCCAGCTTTCCAATATGAGCATCTACTACTTCTGTAAATAGAAAAGTAAATATATAAAAAGGAACAAAAATATGACCAAATAATATCAGGTGTTAGATGCTGAGAAGCTAGGAATGAAGGTCTCCATCCTAATTGCTCCGGGCCTCTGGTACTGCGCAAATGCCCAGGAAGCCAGGACACTGCTTCAAAAACGGAGGGCAAATTAAGATTTAAATGCCAACTTCACCAGTTTCCCTCCAAGATTCTGTTAACTGATCACACTAGCAGAGATGTGTCACCAGAAAGTTTATGTCTAATGGAAATCAAGTCTCTGATCACACTAATTTGTCATGATATTTTGGTAATCTAAAGCTTTCCCACTCGATCTTTTGTACCCTGGCCTTCACACTAAAGCAATTTCTCCTGTAAACCCACTCCAGACACAAGATGGCGCTAAATAGATTCACGTGGGTTAACGCTGCACTATGATCCAACTACGAAAGCCCACCAACCTAAACGTGGGGCTGAAAATAAAGCCTAAACAGAAAAAAAAAAAAAAAATGCCCTGAAAACACGCGTCTAGGTCATAGGAGCCATGAACATTAGTGATCTGCATTTTCAAAAAGGATAAGGAGGCTGAGACTGTCAGAACAGAGTGGTGGGTGGCACCACAGGTCTAGAAAGAGACTGCCCAGGGGCATTTCTTGCTCTGCCTCTTATGGAACTCTAGGCATATTGATCAATTTTTCTGTGCTTCAATTTCTTCATCTCAAAAAATGGGATAGTAATAGTGCAATACCTATTTTGCAGGGGCATTGTGAGGACTGAGTTAGAACCATGCCTGGCCCACAGTAAGTGCTCAATAAATGGTAGTCACATAAACTACCTCGCTGAAGTGAGACATCAATTATCTACTGCACAGAAGCACAACCCGAACATTTCCCAAACATACAGACTGGGGGAGCTCATCCTCTGGGCTCTCCTATTCAGCTGTTGGTCATGAGATGCAGAAGGACTCCTCGCCTAACCAGAAGCCACAAAGATTTTCTCCTATGTTTTCTTCTAAAAATGTTATAGTTTTACTTTTTATATTTAGCTATATGATCCAATTTGAGATGATTTTTATATGAAGTATGAGGTGTAGATTGAGGTTTTTTTCATATAGATGGCCAACTGATCTAACACCATTTGTTAAGAGACTGTCCTTCCTCGCTTTTGCAAATTCACCAAAATCAACTGCTGTGTGAGTGTGTGGGGGGCAGGGTCTGGCCCCTCCCTTTGCCAATACCATGGTATCCTGATTACCACAGCTTCACAGCAAATCTTAAAATCAGGTAGTGTGATGCCTATTTCATTCTTCTTTTTCAAAATTGTTTCGGCTATTTTTGTTCTTTTTACCTTTTAATATAAATTCTAGAAACACATTGTCTAAATCAACAAAAAAAAATCTCTGGAAATAGTGTTAAATTCTTGGAGAACTGACATCTTTACTCTGTTGAATTTTCTAATCCACAAACCCATTATGTCTGTCTATTTAGATCTTCTCTAATTGCTTTTATCATTGTTTTGTAGTTTTCAATTACAGATCTGATACTTTTTCCTCCTAAATTTATTAGTAGTTTACATTTTTGGAGGTATAACAAATGGTATTTCAAAAACTTCTCCATTCCCAAGTGTTTATTATTAGCATATAGAAATAAAATTAACTTTTGTGTGTTGTCCTTGTATTCTACAACTTTGTTAAGCTTATTGATTCTAGGAGTTCTGGGTTTTTTGTTGTGCTTTGTTTTTGTAGATTCCCTGGGATTTTCTATATAGACAATAATCCTGTCTGAGAACAACAATTTTCTTTCTTTCTTTCCAATCTGCATGCTCCTCCCTTCCCCCCTCTGACCCTGTGCCTTATTGAACTGGTTAACACTTTCAGCATAATATTCAACAGGAGTGGTTAGAGTGGACACCCTTGCCTTGTTCTCATTATTAGGGGAAAAGGATTTGGTCATTCATCATTGACTATGGGGTTAGCTGTAGATTTTTGTAAATTGCCTTTTTTTCAAGATGAAGTTTCCTCCAATTTCTAGTTTGCTAAGAGTTTTTTTGATTGTGAATGGATGGTGAATTTTGTCAAATGCTTTTTCTCCACCAACTGATATGGTTATGTGGTTTTTCTTCTTAAGACTGTTAATGAG